TAAGAACAAAAATTTATTGAGAAAACTGAGTTCATGTGTGCTACAAAAAAAAAATCAAGCAATGCTTTATACCGCACGGCACTAGCAATGAGGTGGCACCTCGCTTCCAATTTTCTTTGTCTATTTGAATAGAACCATCATATGCATCATTTATAAATTTGTTGTACTGTTCTTGGGTCATTTATTCTCAAATTGTATATTCTGAATTTTCTTTGTTTTGGAAATTTCGGGTATACAGTGTTTTTATTTCATAACTTGATAAGACAGATGCTTGGGCTAGTTGGTGATAAGGGTTCAACATATTTGTACAGCGCAAGACTACGAGTAGTTACGATGTAACTACAGAAGAAGAGACAAGGACAGAAAGAGCGCTGACAACTGAAATTTTATTAACGAAAATGCTGGAAATATATACTCATGACGGAACACCACCGCGCAATGTATTGCATCACAGCAAGACAATCATCATCTCATTATATAGTTACAACGGCACAGCTCAGCACAAGTTCACAATCGTGTCAAAGCCAGAAACTCGCTTTCTTTTTTAGTCAGAGCAAGCGAAGGCATGCTGATACATCGATCACCCAGCATTTGCATTTCATTGGCCTCCATAATCTCTCGTGTTAGCTGCTGACGGTGTTTGGCTACAACAGTGCACTTTTCGAAGTGTTGGAGGGCCCTATTAAGTTTAAAAGCTTGTGATATGGGCCAAGTAGGAAACCTTTAAACGCAAATATTTCACTGTGTACAACTTGCAATGTAGTCATGTTTAAATCATACATTTAATAGAAACTTGCTTCCACTTTGCTTCAACCCAAGGTAGCGTAAGTCAGAAAAAAAAAATTACGGCATATTCACGGGGTGAATGATGATGAATGGGCGAAGCTCCGGAGGGATTCATCGGTAAACTGTGAATCTTCCGTGTAATTCGCCCTGTCGACCATCATGTAAAGACGTTAGAAACGCTGTGTGTGTATATACACAAATCAACTTTTATTTGTTCTTAGACGATGGATGGCTTGCGATGTCCCTTGCCTCGCGTGCTCGCACATCGGGATTCTGTCTGCGAGCGCGCGCTGCTGCCGCCTTGCGCTCTCTCCGCTGTGCAGCCTTATCCATCCGGCGACTCCGAGCGCGCGCCAACAGCGAACGGATTTTATTGCAACGCTCCCCCTAGCGTACGTCGCCGCACTAAATCGAACGATTGCCTTCAACCAATGACACGCGCCATATGTGACATCATTCCTATTTTATAAGATCTCGCGTCTTTCATCAACTACAAGTACCGCTTTCTAGTTTATAACATCTTGCATCTTTTCATCATCAGCTACAAGTACCACCATCTAGTAAACACTACAAGAACTAAACGAGAGGTGGCTACATACAGGAGACGGTACCGCCATCTAGTGAACACTGCAAGAACTAAACTAGAGGTGGCTACATACAGGGGACGGTACCGCCATCTAGTGAACACTGCAAGAACTAAACTAGAGGTGGCTACATACAGGCTACAGGGGACGCACAGCCCACGCCCTAAGGAGCTTCGCCCCTAAAACTTGTGGAGCTTGCTCAGACTCGGACTCAATAAACATTTTTGGGAGCCGTACTCACTATCACAAAAATTTGTTCAGCTGGACTCGCTCGGACTCACTGTCTTTTTCGACCACAATGCCAGTGCTTTTTAACACCGAAATTTCACGTAATCTATGCTCTTCTTGGCACCTTTTCCTATGGTGCCTTCAAATACGAGTTACGAGTGCTCGTAAACCAGTAAGGTCGTTTTTCTTGAAAGAGATGACAGCGCAATATATATTCATCACCAACTTTTTTTTTTATTAAATGTATGTAAGGAGAGGTTATCACCAACTTCCTTTAGTTGTCAATGGTTAGGGAAAGGTCGAGGCCTTCCACCATGTAATTTATGCCACTGATCAATAAATATTCAAATGGTATATAAAAGACACGGCTTTGAAATATGTGAGCATTGACGCGAGTATGAACGCTGATCTAGGTAAAGCAGATAGTAATACTGAAGACGAGTAGGTATGACCATAGCTTGGCAAATAAAAATCGAACTCAGATTCCCTCAGGAAATGTATCTTGCACTTTGGACTCGCTCGGACTCAGAAACACCAAAATTTTCCAGAGACGAACTCATTTAGACGCACATTCACAGAAATGTTAACTCATTCTGAGACTAGCGTCTCCATCCGAGTTAGAGGGAGTAGACTCTGAAGTGAGTTCACTGATATCTACAAGAAAGAGACATTCCTGGTATAAGAGCAAAAAAGGACACTGCTAAGAGGCGAGGAAATTACACAAGCGCATGTGATATTCGTACAAGCCTTATTCTTATTCGTAAAATTTTTAAGGTTATTGGATCATAATAAAAATGCTTGATTTAAATGATTCAACCAAATTACTACTTTTTCAACCTCACATAACTATTTGCCTATCACTAAACCTTGCAGTTCTTGCTTCTTCTGGCTGTTTCGGACAGGTGCGTGGAAGAAGTTGTGGCCGAAGATCACATGCATGTTTTCTGACAGGGCGAACTGTTGGAGGCCTATATTTTTCAATCAAATGTTGAATGGTAGAACTGAAGATTACCTAGCATATACAAGCTATCTTGTCAAGTTCCATGCATATTCGAAATTCGCTGTGAGGAGGGCTCGACATTTGTAATCAATTTCCAGCATTTCTAGTGCAATGAAGCTGCAATGTTCTGGTACAATTTTTTTAAAGGGACTGTCTACTGCACAGAACTTTTTGCTCATTGTGGTGAAAATGAGAAGATTGTTAATCTCATCAGCACCAATGAGCATGTTTTTGTACCATATAAAGGGAGTAATTTTGATGTTGAAAACCTGCAAAGCAACTGCTGGCACCACCCAGCAGCGATGTGGTTCTATTTTTCCACACAGAAATGCTCGCAAGTAGGCTGATTTTGCTTAAAAACAAACATGTTTAACTTGAAATTGCATTTCATTCACTTGAGACAACTTTAGACTGCACAAGAGAGTATTTTTGCTTGTTTTATCACGCGTTCAAAGAGGTGCCGTGGCACTGCCGGCGAGACGGTCGCGTGCTTGCCTACGGCAGAGAAAAGCGAGTGCTGCGTCTGGCGCCGCTCTCAAAAAAAAGAAAAAAATGTCTTCGGCAAGATAACTGACTTCAGTAAATTTTCAAACCTTGCCCGTGGGTGCAATGTCATCTAGTAATGTTGCACGAGCCTTTGTGCCTAAAGTGCACAACAGTATTTACCAAAGTTCTACATTGGAGAACATTTTGCCATCACGTTTCGCTTAATCGTGTTGCCCATGCTGGCTCTCATCCCATATGCAAAGCAGAACACCTAAACACAACTGCAAGACAGCAGGGACCTTCTGCTGTTTTGTGAAGGACATTTCATGTTTGTTTTAGTCACATGCACACTTGGCAGGAGTAAAACCACTACAGTTCGTTTCACAATGCTGGCGTACCAGTGTTGCTGGAACAAACTCTTCCCCTCAACTGTGGTGGTTTTTGAGGCTAACTAAACAAGGCTGGAGAAACTTCGGTATTACATTATCTGACAATTTCCATGCTTTATACAACCAGTACGGTGTATGTAGTATTATTAGTGAAGGCCTTGCAAAAACTGCACACGGTTTCAGTTTTAGACTTTCACACCATTGTGATCACGTCCACCAGTCATTGTTCTGGGCGTTCATCACTCCGATGGAAGAAGACTGAATGCAGAATAAAAAAATTCTTTCTCAGGATTTCTACACACTTGCCAGAGAAGCCGTTGGAATGTTGGACACTTCAGACGTATGCTTTTTATTGCGGTACAAAAACAGTAAAGCAGTGGAGGACTATCATAGTCACTTGAAAGTGAAAGACTTACTTGGGGTGCTGCCTTGCATTCTGGCCTTCAGAGCTTGCATTTGAATGACTAAATTACTTATAAGCCCAGACTCGGAGAGGACACTGCACTTGTTTGCGCTTGTTTCATCATGAACCTCTACCAACACGCCCAACTGGCAGTCATCCTATATACTTATGAGCGCTAAATAAAGCTAGAATAGATTTATCGTCGTTGTACCCTACCCACCAGAAGCTTCAGATGGTCTCGTCTAGCCTCTCGATGCCCGTGGGGTGTGTGAAAAAGGATGCAAACAGACAGTTTTTATTTCACTTGTATATTTGCTTACTTGTAAATAATAAAATCACTAATGTTCATTTTCATGAGTTTGGTACAATAAGGACATAATAGTAACACGCCGTTAATACAAAATAATTGAACTCTCTTTTTTTTTCTTGCAAATGGTGCTTTCATTCCTTATTGAGCCACCTCTGCTGCTTCTCAGCGCAGAAGCTCCATCATCCATTGCCGCGCACCCCCACAAGGCAGTCCTACATGCCCATGAAGCGTAGAAAAATGTGAGCCATGTTAACTCAATACTGTGTGCCCACAGTTGACATGCATCTCCATGTGCAGTACCCTATAGCTGTACTTCTTGCCGAAAATATATCTGGTAAGCTTATTGATCAAAATATGTCATCAACAATGCACTTCTCATGGTGATGTATGCATTATGTCTTGGGGTCCTCTTTATTGTGCTGCTTGTGTGCTTCTCTGTGTGTTCAATTTCCTGCCTTCTTTTTGACTTGTACTATAGTTCTGATACATCTAGGATTGCTGACTGTTTCCATTTCCTCATATTTCCTTGCAAAGTTCTGCGAAACTAGAATAATAATTGACTTGAAAGCAGGTCGCAGAACACGATACTTAAAAACACTTTGGTATCCTGGCTGCGGCGGCTGCATTTCCGATGGAGGCGGAAATGTTGTAGGCCCGTGTGCTCAGATTTGGGTGCACGTTAAAGAACCCCAGGTGGTCGAAATTTCCAGAGCCCTCCACTACGGCGTCTCTCATAATCATATGGTGGTTTTGGGACGTTAAACCCCACATATCAATCAATCAAAAAACACTTTGGTATCTTTCCTACTTGCAGGCTGGCCAACAAAAACAGTGTGAACCTCGGTGCTAAGGGCTTGAATGCCACTGGGTTGTAGTGCCACCAACAGCAAGGGGATCGCGTCGTGATGGAAGAAGGGGATGCGCGGGATCACGTGCGATCCAGCAGCAATACTGGCGCGAGGTGGACAGAAAATAAAGAAAACATTGGTTGTGTGAAAACCTGCCGAGTCTTTCTCACATGTGCTACACAAGGTATACTAACGTTCTCCTCATTGTGGACATGTACTGTGATAGGGACAGCAGCTGCCTTTGTGTAGTATTTCTGAATGCTTTGTTGTTGTTACTAACACAAAGCTGTCACATAATTTAACCTTTTACTTCACTAAAATTATAAATGAACTGTAATAATTACAAGAGCAAGCCTAAAAATGTTGATACTTCATGTTACTTTGCCTGAAAAATGTTAGTTTTTGAAGCATGAAGTTGGTTTTGTTTAATTCCAAACAAGCGAACTCCACTTCTTAAAGGAGTGCCAACCCCTGATGTCCGACTAAGTTGGCATAAAAAGGACTGAATCATCGGCTTTCAGTGCTTGTAAGGAATGTTGGGTGAATGTCAACCGTTGGACACGCTATGTACACAATTGTGTACACCCCTTGATTTTTCTATTTATATATGTAGGGGCTGTTCTGTTCTGTTTTAACTGTTTTGCTGTGGAGAGGTTGAGGTGCCTATTGCCTCGGCTACTCCATATCACAAAGGGGCTAAGAAACATCAAAATATATTGATTTTCTAATCTCTTTATTTAACTTCGTTTTGCAGCATACAGTTGCATATTTATTTTTATTTTATTTACTCTCGAAATCCTTACGGTATTAATAGAGGGGACTGGTTACAAAGTAGACAAGGAAAATGCAGCATGAAAAGTTACTAAACAAAGAATAAACTCATCATTACACAATGTTAGCTGTGTAAGGAAAACAAACACAATACATAATTCAGCCTGTAAATACAGAATGTTAGTCTTTTTGGATAATTACAGAATACTGAGTAAAGTTTATTGGAAAACAATTACTAATAGTGACATGTCTTCAGGAAGTTGGTTTCAATGTACCAATGTACAAGATGAAAACACTGGGAGTTGCATAATGCGATGCCAACCTTATGACGAGGTCACTGCAATGGAATATGTACTCAGGATTCAGGATTAGTTGGTCATGCGGGGTGGTATGACAGAATAATTCGTGAAATGAAGCCAAATAGGATATTTTCCAAGGGGGTGCAAAAGAAGCAAGGCTTCGGCTGGATTTCATTGAAGTTATACCAGCAATGCAATTACAGTGAGAAGGTTTCAAGGGGATGGAGTTATTCTGTACAAAAAGTGAATCAAGTTGTCGTGGCAAGGGTCTCGCACAGTAGAGGCATATTCAAGTTTGGCACGTAATAATGTTTCATATAGGAGTAGTTTTAGTGTATATCCGGGTTTTGAGAAGGTGCAATGTATGTAGCCTAACTTGTAATCGGCATTATTAGTAACATATTCAGTGTGAGGTGCGTGAGGTAAGTTCAATGTGATAAGAACACCTAATTAATTATATGAGCTGACCCGATTGTTTAGGACATTTACCTAATATGTTAGCAAGATGTCTGCATAACTTCTTGCGTACATTTGCTTAAATTTACGCTTGTTTAAATCTATTTGCCACGTGGTGCACCGAGCTGCTACAGTGTTGAGGTAAGATTGGAGAAATGAACTGCCATTACCACTACTTACTTTATTGAAAATTATGCAGTAATCTAAAAAACATTAATGTTTGAAGAAGTTGAAGATTACAGGCTCAAGGTCGGCGTCGGGTATATTTTTTGGCACTGGAGCTGGGTTCATGGCTTGATTGGGGCGCCCAGAACATAAAAGAAACCACCTCCACCAGATGTCGCATAGTTGTGATATGGACTAAGGCAGCAGGCGGCACTTCCAAGATGAAATTTTTTGTTTGGCCATACTTGTGGCCGAGAAACAAAGTCAAAGACTACAGTAAAGCACAAGTTCGGTTTCTTTTTGAATGCACCTCGTGTTATGCCGCTATTTTTGTTGCAATAGAATATCGAGTGCCTTGAAATGTCAGTTTCACACAAGTACATACAGTTCTTCGTAGGTGGTATCTGAAAGGGCTAAGAGAGCAGTTCACTTTTATTACTTTTTTTCTTCTCGCAAGAAACCCTTGCACCACTTGGGCCGTAGCCCAATCATTCGCAAAGTTTGAGATTAGCTAGTTTGTATGACGAGACCTCAATGTCGAGGTGTTTCATGCATTTGGCACTGTAGTCACTGCCTGCAATGCTTCATTTATGGTGCTGGCAACAGTGCTGTCACCAGGGATATTTTAGGGGGAGAGAGGAACACATGCTCAGTACAGTACTTGCAACAACCCTGAATGGCAGTGAAAAACTTGTGCAAATACACATGCCAGTCATGAGGCATATGAACATCGATACTTGTATAATGCCTTGCTGAATCGATACTTCGTATAGAGATTAAATAAGAGGTGTGAGCATAACATTTCACAGCTCTGCATTTGGATATCCTCGCACTTTTCCAAATTTATATTTCGGGCTTCTGGATTTATAGATGTCCACATCTCTTTGAGAAACATAAACTAGTATGCCAGCAGTCGTCAAGCTTCTAATCTTCATAACTGCAAAAATATTAGAAATGTATGCAAAGGAATAAGCTATCTTTTATCCTCAATGCCAAAAGACATAATAAACTGGGTGTATTATGCTGTGTCTATAGGTGCTATTATGAATATTTTCATAGCATTACAAAGACTTAGCATCGATGTGTACAGCTGACTGAAATGCGTGACCTCCACATTAGACCAGCAGCTTATGTTGGCAAGTATTTTTACATTTTCAAGGCCACTTGTGGCAGCCTCGGTTGGTCTAATTTTGTTCAGTATGCTTCTTCAAAATTAAGAAATATATTGCTTTTTTTTTTACAACAGCTTATAAGTCTTACAGGCGGTGCGGTTTACTATTTCCTCTGATTTTAACATTACATTGCAGTGAAACGCCAAGTTCATAGGCTGAAGAGGTGTATAGGCATTTTAGACAACTCGTGCAAGAGCTTTCAGAGCTTCGCAGAAAATAGACATTGCTGGCATTAACCGATATATTTGCCACCATGCCTGTGAAGGCTTTGCAAAACAATTTCCAGAAAATATTTGCCTTTGCTGCATTTTCTACCTGGCATATGCTGTGTTGCAAAGGCAGTTGAACTATTTGCTGCATTGAATTCAATATCTGTTTCTAAAGTGTATACCAATGAATTGTAAAGTCTTATTGCATCTTATTTCACTCACAACATGTCCTGGTCCAAACACATTGATATTACGTATAATAAAGCCCTGAAGAGATTAGGTTACTTACAGCGCGTTCTCCGTGTAGCACCAAAAGAAACCAAGCTCTTAACATTTAAAACGTTAGTACGGCCATTACTCGAATACGGTTGTGTCGTGTGGAATCCACACAAAGCGTCCGACATTGCAAAACTAGAATCCATACAAAAAAAAGCCGTCCGTTTTATCTGCCGAAGATATGACCGGGATTTTTCGCGTACGTCCAACTTAGCACCTTTGGGTTTAACTCCTTTATCTGCCAGGCGCCATTCAGAATGCTTAAAGCTCCTGTACACCTTGATTAATTCGCCGCGCTTGCCCTCGCTCCACAGGTATCTGCAGTTTGCCACACCACCCTCTGTTCACACCAGGAGTCAACATGCGCTAAATATTACGCCATTTCACCCCAAAACTGATTTGTTTAAGTATAGTTTTTTTTCCTTCACTATTGAGGTCTGGAACTTGCTACCCGGCGATACCCGCGGGCTCCCTTTGGAGCAATTTCTGAGTGCAATATCACATGCGTGTTAAGTAGATATTTCCATGTTCTTTTGCTTTCTGTGCTCTTGCTCTGTTCATTCTGTATCTTGTGTAGTACTATGAACCACAAATTTGTGCCATATGCTCATGTTTTTGTTTCTGCTTGTTATCACCTGATCATTTGTATGTCCACTCCTGCAATAGCCCTAATAGGGGCTGCAGTATGTATAAATAAATAAATAAATAATCCTTGCACAAATCAGGCAGTCATATGCACGGATGTTTATTTGAACAGGTACATGCGTAAGGACTGGCTCTGACCTATACAAGGTTGGATGATGAGGGGTCTAAGCAAGCAATGATCCTGTGATACTTCGAATGACATTTCACCAGCAAAGCGTTGTTTTTAAATGATGCAAAATAAAACAAGGTGTAATTGGAAGATCCTGGGTGACTTTTATGGTCTCATAGTTTCCTAAAAGTAACTCTGGCACTGCAGTCGTTTAGTTGCCATGGGAATGATGGGTACTTCACAGATTTGCCTAGTTTTCGTGTTTGCAGGCTTCCCATGCACTTGTGGCTGTGTTTATAGCTATGCATTGATTTTAAACCTTTGCTAAACTTTGTCTTGTGGCAAAGCGAATTCAGGCCACACGGAGCTAAAAGAACGAACATTAGACACATTCGTGTACTACCCATCCCTGCCATGCTAGCTGAAGTGCTGTGCGTTGCAGCTGCCACAGACACTAGCATCAAAGTTCTCTATGTTTCATTCAGAGCATGGTCTATGCTTTAGAACATCCTCCAGTGTATCTCTCTTCATGGTCTGCACTCCTGCTTTTATTTCAATTTCATGTAACGGCTATGTGGCACTTGTGGCCAGGTATGTTTTTTTTTTTACTTGCCATCAAGCTTGCATGACTGCTTGTTGGACAAGGGCGGGTTGTAGAAAAAAAAAAGAGAAAAACATCATGTCGAGGTGCTCGGTCGCATATTATAAAGTTGCGCGTGCCCTCACAGCTTCACCGCATTACACATGCATGCTGCACTGAAGCGCCAAAAAAGAAAGAAAACACGGGCGCTTTTTTCTGCAGGACGCATTAGAAAAATTTTGTTTTTGTTCGAACCTTACTTGCGCCGATAGGCAATATTTATTCAGCGGCGTTCTTTTGCCTTAACGATGGCGTATTAGCTTGTCCGTGTAATATATCAAGGAGGCGTTGAATATATGAACGGGCGAGGTCGGAAGCTTCACTTTTTTTAAGCCGCACAATGGTGTTTGGAAGGTCTCCGTGTGGCATGGCACGTTCCTATTCATAATGCGTAGCTTAGAAGTCAGTGCTGAGCATCAGCTAAAGCTAATTAACCCTGAAGTGACGACCGCGACGTAGCGGAGTGTGATTTTTGCTAAACCCCCTTTCTGACCAGCGACGAGGCAAGGCTTGCACAAGTACGTGATCGCGTCGTTTTGTGTTGATTGCATACGACTTAATAAACATCCGAACTTACATCGTTGATAACAGGCCGGCAAAACGTTGGGCAGAGCAAGGAGCGCAGCGCAGCGGCGATACAAGGCGCGCGCACTGCTTGAAAGATGAACGATTGCGAGATGTCAATCGTAGAGGGTTTTCCTTTTCTTGATCACATCGTTCCAATGCCCACTTGCGTCATGAACGAGCCGGCTTTCGGTTTCGAGAGGCGACAGGTGGGCGCACACGATTTCTTCGCGAGTATCCAACTCAACTCGCCGCAGGTCCAAAAGCCTTGAGGGGTTTCCTTTGCGAGCAAGGCGGCCCCCGCTAGCTGCAGCAGCAGCCTCTGGCAACACTATACGAAAGTGCGGGGAGCGACAGCGCGATAACACAATTAGGCCGGCAGAAATGCATAGCCTCCAAGAGCGCTGAGCCGCGGTGCATTGTGGGTGGCTCTATCCGCTCGCCTTTGTAAACTCGCCGGCCGGGCTAGACAACACCTGCGCGCGCTTCTTTCCTTAGGGCCTTCTCAACCATCGCGAATACAGTGGGAGAGTTTCTGAGTATGTTTCGCCGCCCGCCGGCGGTAGGGGCGCAGCGATCCTGACCATTGTATCTTCTGCGCCGTGCACACGGCCCAAGAGAGTTCGCCGATGTGAAACCATATAATGGGGGTTCTCGACGAAAAGAGGAATTAATAAAGAAATCGAGGATAGAGGGAGGATCGTCTACTAAACTAATTTACCAGACGGCTTACCGGTCAATGTAGGTATGTGCGTGCTCGTGATAATACAAGCTGAATCTCAGGGAAAATGCGGAAGAATATGCTAATGAGAGGCATAATTCAACAGGCATAAATCACCAGAGAGGTAGAAGAACAGCCCCGCCAAGGTGGTCTAGTGGCTAAGGTACTCAGCTTACCCGCAGGTCGCGGCTTTGAATCCCGGCTGCGGTGGCTGCATTTTCGATGGAGGCGGAAATGTTGTAGGCCCGAGTGCTCAGATTTGGGTGCACGTTAAAAAACCCCAGGTGGTCGAAATTTCCGGAGCCCTCCACTACTGCGTCTCTCATAATCATATGGTGGTTTTGGGACGTTAAACCCCACATATCATCACTAGATAAAAGAAGAATGTTGCATCTGTTCTACAATCAGAGAGCACTAAACGCCTTTGGCCTTTGGTCTCGTCGGACAACAACGTCGCAATTAAGAGAGGTCGCTAACGAAATGACAAGCGCGCCTTCTCTTTTGTAGCTATTTCCTATTTTTCTTTATTTTGCCAAAAACACTTCGAGTGTTTTCACAGCTAATAGCTTATGTCTGCAGCCTGACGACTCTTTTAAACACGCGCGTGTGTTGTATCTAATGGCTAAAAAACTGCGCATAAGGAGAAAGAAAGTAAAAAAAAAGTTACGGCACTTGCTGCTGAATAACGTCTTCAAATGGCACGCACAGAGAGTGGTGGTGTGCATTGTCAAGGTGTTAACACTAGCTGGAAATATTGATTCTGGAGACCCCAAGCCTTTTTCCATTCCCTTGTACTGCAAGCCACGTCCATGAAGAATGCGAACGAAGTACGCAGCTGCTTACGCTCGCAAGCCGCTTGCCCCGGAACTAAAACTGTAGTGCAAATGAGTTCGGCGCTATCTTTCTAGTTCGTAAGACAATATGTTTAGAAGTAGAAATTGTCAACATAGCAACTTGTCGGCAAGTAAGCAGCAAATTTTCGGAAAATTCTGTATAAATTTTCTTGCGGCTTATTGCCACAAGCAGGTTGTTGTCAATTGCCTTTTATCTCTAGTGTGGCCTGCTTTATTTTGGTATTTACCCACCACGGCTG